CCCCGTGTCTGACAAGGATAATATTGGAGATCATGTGGTGTTTTGGTTTATCGGATCAATGGCTCTTGATGTTTTGGTTTCTCATCTAGCATTTCGGTGTCTCTTAACAGTGTGTCACGTGTTTCTCAAAATAAAAACAGTGTGTCACGTGGTATGGTCAAATGCTCTCTGAATTCTATTTTAATTGTTCATACTCTTCATTCTCAAGAGTGCGACATCGAACTTACGATTGAGAACTTGTCTTTCAAGGGCTTTGTCTCACTATTAACTGGGCGGTTCATCGTCTTTTCAAAACTTTCGAGGATGTGGGGAGAAGTCCTCTATGAGAACTGCAATCATGGTTGGATTTTGGTCGATGCTCCGAATAGGTTGAGAAGAGTGTGCCTCCTGGGAGCCAATGATCACACGTCATGGAGAATCAGGAGAGAGCACATGTAGAGAAGTGGGAAGGCAGTTCATTCCCGTGTGCTTTACTCAGGTTTTCTCAAAAATAAGATTTTAATTTATTCATCATTTGTCATGTCAAATAGAGAACATCATTAGAAATAACAAAAACTACAATCAGGTTCGTGGACCACCTAGCGACGATTACAAGCACTAGAGCGAGTCTAAGACACACCGTCATCATCGCCCCCTCCCTCGTCGAAGCGACGCAAACCTTATTGTAATATATAGTCAGAAATCGTCATGCTAAAGCCCCATAGGTGCAGTGCACCAGAACAACAACCGTTGCCAATGAAGAGAGGCGTAGACCAAAGGACCAAACTTGTAGACACACAATCGAAGATGACCTAATACTAGATCCAAACATATCCATCAAAGACTAGCACCGAACGAATCACGCGAGACCCGATAGAGACACACCACTACACGCCCTCTCACGATGCTAGACACATCATCGGGATAGAGATCGTACGTGGAAGACACTGTTCCTTACTAGGGGACATCGTCGCCGCCACACAACCCCAACGAAGACACTGAACCAAACAAGAACGAGAGTTTCGGTCTATCCCACTGGCAAGCAGCCAGGGTCCTCCCCATCTCCATGACCCAAAGGCAAATGGAGGCGGAGCGAACTAGCGACACCACCGATGGAAGTATGGGAAACCTAAATTGCCTAGGAGTCTCTTCTTGGGGAGGAGGAAAACACTAGATGGGTGAGTTCTGGTTGTTAATTCAATCGTATCACATCGATCAATCAAATGATAACGTGTGCTTTACTTCATATGTGCCTATTGATTGAAATACTCCCTTGACATGTTGGATTGAACTGTTATTTATCATACTTCATGAGGCAATAGTGATTAACCAGTGGGTCACAATCAATACTTAACTTTAAACTTCTTACGCTTATTTTTTATTTACTAGCAAAACGTCCCGTTCGTTGCAACGGAGAAAAAAAAAATCATAATCTTCAATGGCAATAACCACATTTAGCTGCATCAGCGAGATACAATATCACTCACACTTTTCTTAAATCAGAACAAAATTTGAAAATCATGAACAATTTTTTAAACTCGTTAACATATCTGAAATCATGGACATTTTTACTGATTTTTATAAAATTCTAAAATCATGAACATTTTATACTATTTGCACAAAAAAGTAAAAAATTGATAACATTTTTAAAAACTTTTTTCTTGAATAGACGAACTTTTCTATCAACGAACAATTTTTTTGAATATTGTTTGGTTGAACAAACTTTGAAATTCATGAACATTTTTTTGATTTAACAGACATTTTTTGAATCAGCAAAAAATTTATGAATGCATAAAATATTTTCTAATCCACGAACAGTTTTTGAATTTTTAGGGTATTTTTCGTTTCATGGACATTTTTTGAATTGGCGAAATTTTGTTCAATTTAATTAACATTTTTAATACACAAACTTTTTTAAACAAATCATGAGCATTTTTTGATTTCCTGAACATTTATTTCCAAAATTGCAATATTTTTTGAATATGTGAACAGTTTCTCAATCCAGAAATATTTATGAATTATTAAACATTTTATTTCAATTATTTTTTTTTCTAATCTTTTTTGAATTAAAAAATTATTTAAACTGGAAAAAAAGACGAAAAATAAAAATAAAAATGAAAGACAAAACTTAAAAAGCACGCCGCCCAGACATGGGCCGGCCCAAACTGGCGCGCTGCATTCTTCTTCCAGCGCGCAGAGCGAGTACAGAATATGCCTACTGCATGAGCCGGTCCAACAGGGTTTCTTCTGTGTGAAACATATTTTATCATTTATAGGTGGCATCGATGGGCAATTTTTTGCAACTTTGACAATAATTTCGGGGACGTATCGCCAGAAGCAATAACCCGTTATTATTAGGTATGCAGATAGATTTATGTTAGCAAATTATCTGACATGTTGTGCTGAAACTAGGCTGTGATCAACCAAATTTCACCTCTCTTTCTTCATTTAGTTCTATGACACCTTATCAAAATCACCTAGTTTGCCTGTATGATACTCCCTTCGTTCCTAAATATTTGTCTTTCTAGAGTTTTCAACAAGCGACTACATACGGAGCAAAATGAGTGGATGTACACTCTAAAATATGTCTATATACATCCATTACTGTACTCCCATTACGACAAGTCTAAGCGTATATTCCCCAGGGTGATGAAGCAATTCCCAGGGTTACAAGTGGCAAGTTACAAGAAAAAAAACAGAAAATGAAAAAAGAAATGAAACAAATTCAAAAGGAAAGAAAGAAAACGCTTCATACCCTAATAGGGCCGGCCCAAGTGCGAGCGGAGCACTCTGACCACAAGCTTCCGTTTCCTCCAGCATAGTCTACAGCGGCGCCGCGGCGGCGATGAAAGGCCGCCGACGTCTCCGGTGCTGCTCGGGATCCGGCGGCCGGAGGCGACTCGCCGTCAGAAACTCGATCCATCTATGGATACAACGCCGACTCAGGTCTCCGGCAGGTCAGCGCCAAGTAGCGAGTTCACGGACTCGGACAATCCCCTTTCATTCCCGCGTGCCTTACTGCAGTATTAATTAATTTTCAGTTTCCACATTTCTCAGGTCTCGTATCTGCTTGACCAATTGAGGAGTAATTTTTCCCTGACGTTTTCATTCGTTGAAATAGGGTAGAGATTGTATATATGGAGTATATAGATTAGACAAATACTTCCTCCGTCCCGAAATACTTGTCGGAGGAATGGATGTACCTAGACGTATTTTAGTTCTTAGATACATCTATTTCTATGCATTTCTCCGACGAGTATTTCCGGACGGAGGGAATACATGTTATCTAGACTGTACTGTGTTCCGTGGCCGGCAGTAATGCTCAGACTAATGATAAGATGATGAAACTGAGCCGTGCTCCTGTAAGAACCTGACTGGAAATTTACTACTGTCTTCAAGGTCGACTGTGCCGCGTCGACGTGTAGTACACTCTCTGTTCCTATTTGAACTGCCAAAACGTCTTACATATAAAAACAGAGATAGCACAATCCTAGCATTAGACAATTATGCAAGTTGATTATAAGATAACCTTGTAGTTGTAAAGCAACCCAGTGGTTAACAAAGAGGTTGTTTTTTACAGGGGATACCTGAGTGGTTGCAGACTTGCAGTGTTGTGCTGTTAAAGCAAGAGGATTTAGTTGCACTTGCCATCAATACCAGCCTCCTCAAGGCCTAGGTGAGATGGATGGTTGATTTCCTGACCACTATATATGACCATTCTAAAGAGTACATGATGTCTTTTTCGCTTTGAGTTCTGTTGTACTCCCTCCGTCCGGAAATACTTGTCGAAGAAATGGATGTATCTAGACGTATCTTAGTTCTAGATACATCCATTTTTATCCATTTCTCCGACAAGTATTTCGGAACGGAGGGAGCACATGAACCTTGTTTCTCTGTTTGCTGTTTGTTCATTGTTCGCCAGAAACAGTGAGCTTGCATTCAGCTAATTAATTACTTCAGCATTGTGATACAACTGAACATGACGAGAAAAAGGGAAAACCTAGAAACATGAGAACAGACTAATGCCGATATCTTAGCACTGTTTGGTGACAGCTGTATCTTGATGCTTGTCATCAGTGGAAGTGATACGATGTTCCGTACGTAATTGTAGAAGATGGATACGTAAACCAGGTTGCCCATTTAGAATACAGATTTCTCTTGACATTCAGCACTATACATGACACTTTCAGCGGAGGCTGTTACTGTCAGGCGTAAGTTATGGACATGTAAACAGAAAAAGAAAAACCGCCAATAGATTGAGAAATTAGTTGCTACATGCCATGTCAAACTTGAAAGCCTATGTAAACAGAGTAATTAAGTACCATAGGCCATGCTTAACGGCTAATTCGTTTTTGACAGCATGCTTACACGGCTACTTTATTGGGCACATTCTGCAGAGCAAGATGGTGCAAAGTATTCTTCACGTGACGACGACCCAACAACTCTGTTTCTCTGGCGAGTCGTCCACCGGCAAATAGAAAATGGCATCCATCCCGCGTCCACTGTCTTTCCCCACACTACCCTAGCCTAGCCTCGATCTGGATTCTGGATCACAGAGCTCCAAGCCGCCGCTCACCTCCCCCCTCCCTCACACTGACCTCGCCGGCGGCGCTCACCCCTGCAGCCCGACTGCCCGAGCCTAGCTAGCCTACTCTCCCCAACGCCTGCAATGGCGGATCCTGTTAGCATCACTGCTGCTGTAGGATGGGGCGTGACCGCACTAGGTTGGCTCGCCTCGCCCATCATTCCTAGGCTCCTCAACAAAGCTTTCACCGTCCTGGACTTCAACGCGACGGAGAAGCTCAAGATAATTGAATGCAAGTTTTACAACTGCAGCGGGTGATGGAAGTAGTCGACGAGAGCACCTACAGGGCTCGCTTGGAGCCACTTTTAGACAAGCTTAGGTCTGCTCTCTACGAGGTCGAAGACATCTTGGATGATGTTGAGTATCAGCGTCTCAAGAAGCAGATCCAAGAGCCAAGTCAGAAGGCAGCTTGCCTCCACGTAAGAGGGATTTATTGATGAAGAATCTTCGGTCTGCTGTGCCGAGATCCCTCCTAAAAGATAAGGTATTTCCATGCTCTCATGCTTGGATGTGTTCTGATTTATGGCACGCGCAGGCCCTCTTATCTTTTGTGCCTCTTAATTACATACTCCCTCCGTCCCAAAATAAGTGTCTTAACTTTGTATTAGCTTTAGTATAAATTTGTACTAAGCTCAAGACACTTATTTTAATTATCTAGACTACTTCCTATGTTCCTATAGCTGCCACATCGGAATGCACTCTCACTTGTTTGTCACAATTATCTAGACTACTTCCTATGTTCCTAAATATAAGACCTTTTAGAGATTTCAATATGGACTACATACGGAGCAATTAAAATGAGTGAATCTACACTGTAAAATATGTCTATATACATCCGTATGTAGTCCATATTGAAACCACTGAAAGGTCTTATATTTAGAAAGGAAGGGAGTAGATGTTAAGATCATGAAATGCAGTTAAGAGATACAACACAGGTTGTTAGGAAAAAATAGGATTACTTTCTTTGGAGCCAAATAAATCAAGAGTTTATATAGTATTTTCTTAACAGTAATTAGCCCAATTATTAGGAATAACCAAAGACTCTAGCTAGCACCGTCTTCCACAAGTTCCTCTTCCCTGTGTAGCCCGCTGACAACACAACTTTTGGTGTTTGGTCCTTTTCCGACGGGACAACAATGCCTCTTGGTGCACTTTTCTTCATGCATGATGCATGATTTGTGTCACTCGCAGTCGCAGAGCCTGGGGTCTCTCTCCATTCTAAAGTAAAAACTCTACCCTGCAAAAAAAATAGTAAAAACTCTCCTTCATACGGCAGCATAGAGTAGCACCACCGTCAACATGACCACTTGTTTCTTCTTTTACTAAAATTTTCTTTCCTCACCCCAAGCCCAATCTAGAGGAGCATGAGAAGCAACAGCGGTACGAAGGGTTTGTAAAAACCAGTTAGATATGTCCAGTCCGAGTAGTACTTGTAGAAATTATGGGTAAGCGTCTCAATCTCCATACATGGAGACCCGCAGGTATTTATTGATATGTCGAGAGGTTATAGCAGATGGCAGCGTCGAGGCTAACCACATGAGATATTACAGGAGAGGGAGGTGAGAGGATAGAGATAAGTTAAACAGAATATCTATCCTAACAAACCCAACGTGAGAGACAAGATAGCCTAGGCCGGCTCAAGAGTCCTCTGAATATAACTCTATGTTTAACATCCTCCCTTAATCTAAACTTCTCAAGTTTAGATTACGCTTGAACTCTTCAAACAGTCCTGCGGGTAGCGCTTTTGTAAACCCATCAGCAACTTGGTCCTTGGAAGGAATGAACCGAACCTCCAGTTCTTTGCTAGCAACTCTCTCTCTGACAAAATGATAATCTATTTCAATGTGTTTAGTCCTTGCATGGAAAACAGGGTTAACAGAGAGATATGTGGCACCAATGTTATCACACCAGAGACATGGAGTTTGTGTATGATATATCCCAAGTTCTTTAAGCAAAGATTTAACCCATATGATTTCTGCTGTTGCATTAGCTAGTGCCTTGTATTCTGCCTCAGTACTTGATCTAGACACTGTTGCATGTTTCTTGGCACACCAAGAGATTAGATTGGGTCCAAAGAAAACTGCGAAACCACCTGTGGACCTCCTGTCATCCAAGCATCCTGCCCAATCGGAATCAGAAAAAGCACTAACAAGTGTAGAAGTTGACTTGGTGAAGGTTAACCCAACATTCAGTGTGTGCTTCACATATCTCAGTATGCATTTAGCAGCAGTCCAATGAGAAGAAGTGGGTGCATGAAGGAACTGACACACTTTATTGACTGCAAAGGAAATATCAGGTCTGGTGAGTGTCAAGTACTGAAGTGCTCCTACCAAACTCCGGTATTTGGTGCCATCCTCTTGACTCAGAGGTACGCCCTCTGCAAGAGATAATATTTCTGAGCTGGAGAGTGGTGTTGTTGATGGTTTGCAGCCTTGTAACCCTGCCTTGCTCAAAAGATCAGCTGCATATTTTGCTTGACAAAGATGAAGACTACCTTCTCTGTTTCTTGTTACCTCAATGCCAAGAAAGAAGTGCAAGTCACCAAGATCTTTTAGAGCAAAGTCTGATTTCAAATCCTTCAAAAGGGCTGTGACTGCCTCATTAGATGAACTAGTAACAATAATATCGTCAACATAAATGAGCACAAAGATAATTGTGTGCGACCGACGATAGATAAATAGGGAAGTATCAGACTTGGAAGGAACAAAGCCAAGAGTTTGCAGTTTTAAACTCAAACGGGAGTACCATGCTCGTGGAGCCTGTTTGAGGCCATAGAGAGACTTGTCAAGCCTGCAAATATGGAACGGGTGATGAGGATCGGTAAACCCAGGAGGTTGCTTCATATATACTTCCTCTTCCAGAACGCCATGTAGAAAAGCATTCTGCACATCTAGCTGACGGAGACACCATCCACGAGACACAGCAATGGACAACACAAGGCGAATAGTGACAGCTTTAACAACGGGACTAAAGGTGTCCTCATAATCAAGTCCATACCTCTGCTTGAATCCTTTTGCAACAAGTCTGGCCTTGTAGCGGTCAATAGAGCCATCAGACCGTCGCTTGATGCGAAATACCCACTTACAATCAATCACATTTGTACCGGGTCGTGGGGAACGAGGTGCCAGGTGCGATTTTTGTGAAGAGCTCCAATTTATTCAAGCATGGCTTGTTTCCACCGAGGATCTGCAAGAGCTTGAGAGACAGTACGTGGTTCTCCTGGAGTGGTATCTGAAACAACCAAGCCATACTTAGTTTTATAATTGACAGGAACAAGTGTCCCCGTTTGAACGCGAGTACGATGCGGTGCACGAGGCACAGATGCAGCCACGGAAGATCCAACAGGAGCGGCTGCATAGGGGCCAGCAGATCCAGCGGATCCCGAGGAGGCTGGTGCATGCAGATCTTCTGTGGCTGATGTAGTTGGCGAAGAAGGGGAACCCGATGCAGAGGATCCAGGGGAGCCAGCCGAGGCCGCCTCGACCAGCGCATCAGGCCCGCCTGGCACGTCGGAAGTGGATGGCGGGGCCCGCCGAGTGTAGACCCGCGGGGTGGGCGCATAGCGCACGAGCGACCGGTCCGCGATCGGAGATTGGTGCGCCGAGCCCGCAGGGTCAGCCTCTGCAGCATGGGGCCGCGTGGGAGAGGCAGGTTGGGCGGCCGATGCAGCGCGATCCTCCTAGCACGGGGAGGATCCCGAGGGTGATTCGGGTAGGTCTGGCGCAGTCAGGCACGTCGATCCCGAGGGAGATCGCGCCAGATCCCCCGTGATAGCATCAGCACCAAAGGAAACAGCGTTTGGAGAACAAAACATACCGTTTTCTGCACCATTTGAGCTGCAATTTTTTTCTGCACCAAACTAGGTAGATGATTAGGAGCATTAGCCAAAATATGATCATCACAATTATCATTACCCACACGAAGATTGGATGGTAGTAGAAGGATCTCTTTGCGAAGGAGAGCACCGACATTGGGATGAAGTTTTTCGAGAGGAAATTGTGTCTCGTCAAAAACAACGTCACGTGATATGTATACGCGACCAGTCGCAACATCAAGGCATTTAACACCTTTATGTTGGGCACTGTACCCAAGGAAGACACATTGTTTGGAGCGAAACATGAGCTTACGCGTGTTATAGGGGCGAAGATTTGGCCAACATGCACAACCAAAGACACGCAAAGTGGTGTAGTCAGGTGTAACATGCAAAAGCCGTTCAGTAGGAGTTTCATTGGATATCACGCGATTAGGCCGCATGTTAATAAGATGAACAGCGGTAAGGAAGGCTTCATCCCAAAATTTAAGTGGCATGGAAGCTGAAGCTAGGAGGGCTAAACCTACTTCAACAATGTGACGATGCTTACGTTCTGCAGAACCATTCTGTTGGTGAGCATGGGGACAAGAGACATGGTGAGATATACCAATCTTTTGAAAAAAAGAATTGAGTTTTTCATACTCACCACCCCAGTCCGATTGCATGGCAAGAATTTTACTATCGAATTTACGTTCGACAAGAGCTTGAAAGTTGTGAAAAACTTGGAACACATCAGAAAGTTTTTTAAGGAGATAGATCCATGTATACTTGCTATAATCATCAACAAAGCTCACATAGTAAGTATGTCTACCAACAGAGGTGGGTGCTGGACCCCAAACATCGGAAAAGATAAGTTGCAACGGTTTGGTTGACACACTGGTGGAAACAAGGTATGGCAACTGATGACTTTTTGCTTTCTGACATGAATCACAAATAGTTTCTGAGTTTCTCTCACCAACAACTGAGAGTTTATTTCTACTAAGAATTTGATAAACTGTAGCAAATGATGGATGACCCAAACGATTATGCCACCGTTCAGCTGAAAGCTTGATGGCACCGAGCACTTGTTTATTAGACCGGCAGTACTGGGGAAGCAACGCATAGAGCCCTTGCACACACACACCCCTATGAAGAGTTCTCCTTGTGGCCTGATCCTTGATCAAAAAGAAGAACGGGTGAAATTCTAGAAAAACATTGTTGTCAAGAGCAATGCAATGGACAGATAACAAGGTTTTGGATGCATCCGGAACATGTAAGATATCTTTGATTTCAAGATTTTTGTGTGGTGTTTTGCTAATTGCTTGACCAATATGACTAATGTCCATACCTGCACCGTTAGAGGCGGTGTAGACTTGATCTTGTCCACGATACTGCTCATGCATTGTCATCTTCTCTAGTTCGCCAGTGATGTGATTTGTGGCACCCGTGTCCATGTACCAATTGGTGTCAACACCATAGGACATGTCGGCTGTAGCTGCAACTTTTTCTTTTGGGAAGTATCATCGGCATAACGCCAATCACAATCTTTAGCAATGTGATTTGTTTTTTTGCAAATTTGACATTTACCCTCGTAGCCCTCGTAGCCTTGGAAGTTACGGCCCCTGTTGTTGCTGTTGGAGTGGCGCCGAGGGTTGTTGTTGCCGTTGTGAGGGCCCTGGTGATAGCCGCCGCCACCACCATGATAGCCCCCACCGCCGCCGCCGCCTTGGTTGTTCTGGTAGTAACCGCCGCCACCGTTGCTGGCCACCGCGGCCGCCGCCGCCGTAGGCACCAGAACCACGGGATCCTCCCCCGTTGCCCTTCTGGTTGGGATAGTTGCCCCTGTTGCCTCCTTGCCGGCCGCGAGAGGCGACGTTTGCCGACGACTTGAAGGCGTTGTTGCCGTTCCCATGGAACATCTCGACCCTCTGGTCGAAGTTGGCCACCATGGAGAAGAGTATATCGATGGTGATCGGCTCCGTGCGCACGTCCAGCGCAGAGACAATCGGCTGGTACTCCATGTCCAGCCTGCGATGATGAAGGAGATGAGCTCGGGCTCTCCAATGGGTTTGCCCGCCGCCGCGAGTTCATCGGAGAGCGATCGCATGTGACCGAAGTATGCAGAGGCGGATTGAGACCCCTTTTGTGCATTGGTGAGTGCAGCTCGGATATTGTTGGCGCGGGACAAGGAGACGGCAGAGAACATATTTGCTAGGGCGCTCTAGATTGTATGTGATTTCTCAAGAGATGCAACCTGGACAAGAACCTCCTTGGACAGATTCCTAAGAAGGTATGCTACGATTTGTTGATCCTGGATCAACCAGGGGGCATAGGCAGGGTTCATGACGACCTGTTCCTTGCCATCGGTGGTTTTGGAGGGTTCTTCGGTGGTTTGATCGAGGTAGCCGTATAGACCGGCCCCCATGATTTGTGACCTAGCTTGAGCACGTCATAGGATGTAGTTGGTTTGGGTAAGAGGTTCGGATGTGTTGTTGTTGAGACCGGATGAGGTGGTTGAGGAGGAAGACGACATGGTGGATGGATGAAGAAGTTGATGAAGGCGCTAGATGTGATGGAAGGGACTAGGCTCTGTATACCATATAGAAATTATGGGTAAGCGTCTCAATCTCCATACATGGAGACCCGCAGGTATTTATTGATATGTCGAGAGGTTACAGCAGATGGCAGCGTCGAGGCTAACAACATGAGATATTACAGGAGAGGGAGGTGAGAGGATAGAGATAAGTTAAACAGAATATCTATCCTAACAAACCCAACGTGAGAGACAAGATAGCCTAGGCCGGCTCAAGAGTCCTCTGAATATAACTCTATGTTTAACATATGAGTTAGTTTTCATGTCGTGTGTGGGATTGTGCTACTCTGGTTAGAAGTGCTTTTCCTGTATGATATTAGCAGTTGGTGTTCAAGTATAATTTGAGTCGGCATAGATAATAACTAGAAAAGATACAAAAAGCGATAAGAGAAAAACTATGAGGCATGATACATGCCTCTAATTTCGAGTTGCTGCATTCATGTGCTAACAAAGTGCTACTTGGTTTTGCAGGAGAGTGGTATGTCAAAAGTGGAATTGAAGAAGAGCCTAGAGAAGATAGAAAGTGCTATAAATGATGCATGTGAAGTTTTGAAACAACTGAACTTGCCAGGTGGACGTGATGATGATGGGAGGCGAGCTGTTGCCACCAATTCACGCCGTGCAGTCACTACTGCTGCCCCTCCGATAGGAGTAATTGGTCGGGATGAGGATTGTGACAAGATAATCGCAATGCTTCATGAGAAGGAAGACATTTGTCAAGCAAATACTGCCAGTGATACATGTTATTCTGTAATTGGCATTCATGGCATGGCTGGGTCAGGGAAATCAACACTTGCACAGTGTGTTTATGATCATGAGAAGAAGTGTAAGCAAGAGAAAATGGAAGGCCATTTTGATATTGTCATGTGGATTCATGTTTCTCAGAAGTTTGATTTGGATTCCATTTTTAGGGAGATGTTTGAGGGGGCTACAGGGAAATCATGTGATAACTTCAATAGTCGTAATGTCCTGACAGAAAAACTGGAGGATGAGCTGCGTGGGAAACAGATTTTACAGGTACTGAATGATGTCTGGTACAGCAGTAGGAGTTCAGGAGACCACGAAGAACTACAAAAGTTAATTTCTCCGCTGAATGTTGGAAAGGCGGGAAGCAGAATCTTTGGTGACTAGTCGAACTGAAGCTGCATTAGTTCTAGGTGCTGTAAAAGAGAGTCGTATTCCCATATCCAACCTGGATGATGAAGTGTTCCTTCAAATGTTCATGCATTATGCACTTCGGGATGCAAGGGTAAGCGACCATGATAGAAGAATACTTGAAATGATTGGGGAGGACATTGCAAAAAAGCTGAAGGGATCACCTCTAGCAGCTAGAACTGTGGGTTCACGGCTCAGTCAGACACAAACTGTTGAGTTTTGGAGGAGTCAAAAAGATCGGGACCTTATGAATGACACGATGGGAGCTCTATGGTGGAGCTACCAGTATCTTGATGAGCAGGTCAGGCGATGCTTCGCTTACTGCAGTATTTTTCCCAGGCGACATAAGTTGAGACGTAATGAGTTAGTTAAGTTGTGGGTGGCAGAAGGGTTTATAAAGGCTAATAATCCTGAAGAGGAAATGGAAGATGTTGCCCGGGAATACTTTGATGAATTGTTGTCGGCCTCATTTCTGCAATTAGTAGGGAAAGACTATGCTTATGAACATGAGGGTGACGATGATTACTTTACAATTCATGATCTGCTGTGTGATTTAGCAGAGGAGGTTGCCGGAAGAGATTGGTTCAGGATAGAGAAAGGCTTCACAGGAGAAGTTCCTCCTGGTGTCCGCTATCTTTTTGCTGGGACTAGTAATATGGAGCTGCTTACTGAGAAAATATCCAGATTGCGAAATTTACGCACTCTCATCATCGATGACAAGATATATGTTACATCAAACCAGTGCAAAGTCTTTATGAGTATGTTCACTATGTTCACTGGGCTTCGGAAATTGCGGGTATCGAAATTATGTTTCGGAGAGGGTCTTTACACGTTCTCATTCCCAGATTCTATTGGTAACTTGAAGCATCTGCGCTATTTTGCTTTTCTGATGGCTATTAAAGTAGGTACTAAACTAACTGTACCGAGCACTTTTACCAAGCTTTACCACATGCAGATGCTGGATTTGGGTTATTGCATGACATTGGTGTTTTCTGGTGGTGAAGATATGATGAACCTAGTCAACTTACGCCATCTAATCAGCCTCAATGATGTTGACTTTCCGAATGTTGGCAAGCTGATATGGCTCCAAAAGTTACAGTCCTTCGGAATAAGGAAGGAACAGGGGTATGAGGCACATCAGCTGAAACACCTAAACAGGCTTCAAGGTAAGCTGCAGATTTCCGGGCTTGAGGATGTTGGGAGCAAGGAGGAGGCTGTTGAAGCCAATCTTGTTGGCAAGGAAAAACTCACAGAACTGGAACTCAAGTGGGATTTGGAGGAGAGCTGCAGTCCAGAAGTTCAAGCAGAGGTTCTTGAGGGTCTTTGCCCATCGAAGTATCTTGAAATACTGTATATTAGTCAGTACCACTGTTTTGGTTACCGGTCGAAATTTCAAGATTTCCCATGATTACCGCGTATTTCCGTGCCCCTCGGTAAATCACCATACCGAGCAAAAAATACCATTTTTCTTGAATTTTTTGAATTTAAACGCTCGATTTACTGTAAAGTACGTAGGATCTAATTAATGCCATGAGAGTTGGTTCTAGCGTGTCGGTAGCAACCTAGTTCCTGTTTTGAGAGGTCTCTAGTTCGAATATTCGTTCATTCACTTATTTGAATTCAAAATTCAACTACAAAATTCGCTCAAAATATTCTCGCTATTTCTCGGTATTTCGCGGTAACCGTGGTAACCACATTTATCAGTCCCCCCGATAAAATTGCCTCATTCGGTAACCAAAACCTTGGTCAGTACCATGGTATGAGGTTACCGAATTGGATGATGGGTAAACATAACGGCGGGCCAAAGAACCTGCAAGAACTTAAATTGGGCGGATGGGTCCAACTGGGACCTGCTCCTGACCTTGAGGCTTTCATCCATCTCCATTCACTAGATTTTTTTAACTGCAGCTGGGATTCCTTAGCAGGCAATATGGAGCACCTCACATCGCTCAAGAAATTGCACTTGAGAAGATGCATGAACATGCAGTCTCTTGGAACGTTGCCAAAGTCTCTTGAGGAGTTTGAAGTCAAGATTTGCAATCACGAGTTCATGCGATCTTGTATAACAACTGATGATCCGAATTGGCAAAAGATTGAGCACATTCCAAATAAATCGTTTTACATTATGGACCCTTCTTGTTGGTATGTATTTAAATTTCTTTGATGTCTTCTTTTTCCATTTTGTGTTCAATAATTGTAACTGCAACTGTTAGCCATTAGGATTGCTGTTATGTTTCTGATTCGTCGGCCAACTTTCAGTTGGGTGCACTTTCGCTGAGGATAGGAGCTGAAGGAGACGGAGCCTAACCCATGTAGACTCCTGCGAAATCTGCATGGGTAGCCTCTTCGTTGGGTTTTTACCTTCTAGGTTTGTTGATTCTTGCGTGTTTGCAAGTGAAGTGGTGCTGTGCTCAAGTGAAGATATGAAGTTGACAATGCAAGATGACGAACACTGGATTTAGTTGTTTACTATGGTGGTATGTAATAATGTGGAACGCCGGATTGATTTGCTTCCTGTGTGTGGTCTATCTATCACACTCTGTCGGATGCATGATGAACTGAACCCCAAACTGTCTGATTCCTATATATCGTTTGTACTAGTAGTTGTACTTTACTAGGGAATGATGTTTGGTACATTGCCGTCAAACGACGCTAGGAATTATTTGCTTGATTGCTGGGAATTAATTAGGGGCTAGCCAACCGGGGGACCCTGAGGCTTTAATTCATCTTTGGTGATTCAGATGAAGTGCTTAACGGCTGACAACTTGGCAATGCAAAGCGTGGTTGGCCTGTCCTCTTTGCTGATCAAGGTCCAGACATGCTTGGTTGCTGCCCTTTCGCTCATCAGTTTTTTTTTTTTTAGGGTTGCTCATCAGGTTTGGTTTGGCAACGCCGCTTGGGCAGATAAAGCTTTCATGTTCCGCTTGGGCCTGCGAACACGATTCATACCTGTTTGGTGTTGCAGGAATGATGGAAGAGGGAAGCAATTCTTCTTCCTTGGTACAGTACAGTAATGGCCATCTGGTTGAAACTCTGCAAGGCAAGGGTGAAGCCAATCGATTCTTCAAAAAGAAAAGGTGAAGCCAATCGAGAGAGCTGCTCCTGACCTTGAGGTTTTCATTCATCTTGGGGGATTCAAGGCAAGTGCTTAACGGGGGCTGACAACGAGGGACCTGCTATGCCCGTTCTCTGAGTAAGTTTGAGGGACCTGCTTGGTTGATGCCCATTCTCTGAGTAAGTCTGATGTTCCACTTAGGCCTGCAAAGACGACATCCATTGGTCTTGGATGAATGATGGAACAGTAGCCCATGCCACGGGAGAAGGGACAGAGGAAGCTCTGCGAGGAAACCATAGAATCTGAACAAACAAAAAGACAGAAGTTTAGAAACCAGAGAATAATCTTAGCTCCATTTGTACACATATTCGAGATCTTAATTGCGAGCTAAAACGAACAAATTATAGGCGCTTATATAGTATTACAGTGGCAATATTGGTCTCAGCTGAATTTGAAACGTGTGGCTCCAAACGCTCGTTTCACTGTGCCTAGCATCGGAATTTGAATTGCATAACCAGTTATTCAGTGTACACATATTCAAGATCTTATGAGCTATTAAATGAGCAAATTATAGGCGCTTATGTAGTATCACATTGGTAATATTGATCTCAACTGAATCTCCAAATCCAGAAGACAGACAGAATTCTAGGATTATCCTTTTGGGTTGAAATGCGTGACAGCAAACAATCGCTTCGGTGTGCTTAAAATTGCAAGTTGAAACACAAGTTGGGATACATATATATCCTGACAGAGGCACAACAACATAAATAAATGAGTCATTAAGTCGTGCAGAATTGGTACATTCATGTTGCAGGAGTTCATATACTACCTAGGCACATAGAAGTATAACAAAATTCAACTGAGAAAATGAAAGAACCTGGGTGTATTGGTAGCGTGAACCAACACGCTAGGTGCTATCTGCCATCTATCCCAGTGCACAAGTGAGTCACAGAAAGGAAAGAAATACAAAAATCATCTTACAGAATTGCTAATGCACAATCACCTGAAACCACCCCAGGAAAGGAACATTTTCAGAGTCTCTCAGTCGGGGGGAAAAACCCGAATTGCGAATGTACATCAGCTACCTCTACCACAGTTGTTGATTGACTGAAGATTTTAATTTCGCTGTCACATTCTTAGGCACGGAGCAGCCACATTGATGTTACAGTAACCGAAGCTAGAAGTGGCATGAAAACAAGGACAGCATATACATGACCACAGCCAGGTGAAATCATGTAGATTGTCAGCTGCCATCTTGTCAGAAAGATATATGATCACATCAGCGAGAACTCTACACTATCGATACCTCGGTCGCTTTGAACTCAGAAAGCTGATATGATAACATCTCCACTGAATCTGGACAAACAAGACAAAAAGCTCAGACAACACACAATATTTTCTGCCCAATTCATGAATACTAATTCAAGAGTTTTACGAGCTTAAAGGAACAAATTCAAGAGTATCACAGAATAACATAATATTGATTCAACTCAACTCGAAACATGTGATTGCAGACACTCACTTTAGTGTCTGCAATACAAGCTGGGATACACAGAAGGACAGAGGCATGCGAACATGAAGGAATCAGTCCTGAAAAACCCGTACATAATTGGTGCTTTTGTTTTGCACAAGTTCATTTACAGCCTAGGCACCTAGCAGTATAACAAACTTGTAACTAAATGAAAGAAACGTACTGTGGGGTTTGGTAGGAGAACCTACACAATAGGTCTACTATCCCATACAAAAACAAGTCACAAAAAGGAAAGAAACACTAACTGGCTGTTCCCTCTAATTCATATTACAAAGTTGCCAATACACAATCACCTGAAAACTCCTAAGTTTCAGTCAATCATCTCAACCAGTGTGATTTGCTTTGAGATTAGAACAGGCAAGTATCTAAGGATGGCTGAGAGATTGACTGCAATATAGAAGAATTTCAGTTGCCTCTGCAATGATAAGCTAGTAAAACTCTGATCTTATGAGGTTGATTTTTTCTATTCCAACCTCTCCGGAAAAAAATTCTCTTCACCATTTTCATAACTCTACTGTTGTCAGTTAGGCAGATTTATTACAAAACAAAACTGTGAGATAAAATTTTACATGTGTAGATGACTAAAAGAAAACTTTTGCCATGCCTTATATCTATCAAAAGAAATGTGGACAAAATGAGTTATGCATGACTCAATGAACTTTCTCGAGGTTCAAACAATTCAAACTGGATCAACACTTGTATTCCTGCTACATTAGCTTGACCATCAAAATTTAAAACTAATAGTAATGAAAAGTCAAGCATTACACAGGTTGTGTGATAATTACAAAGTGAAGGACAGGATGGAATAGAAATTTTTACCACTTATATTGCCCATGAAGACAACAATGATGGTGGGAAGTCGGCATATATGTGTGTCCCATTATACATAAGCGAGCATTGTTTGGCACAAACCCTCTGAAGCTGCAACATCTTGGCGTCCATTGAGAAATATTCGATGAGTGAATTCTCTACCAAATTGTCTACAGAAGAGGCTGCCGTCCTAACCAACAGCAAATACCTTCCCGTAGCAGCATCAATAGAATATATGTATCCAGGGTCTAGTGAGATTGTCTTCAACATTTGCCACTGGCTCGGACTCTCGCCTGCCTTTTGCGCAATGGCATAGCTGAGATCAGATGCAATTTCACCATGGAACCTAAAAATCCCAGGCCTGCCTTCCCCTGCCTCCACAATGGCTACATGTTTACTCCATTCTCCGGGCGGGAGGTCGGCAAAGGAGAACTCCATCCTCCTGGTGTCAAGCATGAGCAACTTTTTACTCCCGGTCACCAGCCAGTCCCAGTAGAAGCAGCCATAGGCGTAATGGCGCATGAGAAAATGAGGGTGGATCCGTGACATTATGGCCGAGTCGCCCCTGTCAAGGACCAAACCAGTCGGCCCGCCCTTGGTGGCTTGCCATTTTCCGGTGCTCGAAGAGAAGACAAACGCGGCCAGCTTAGTTCTGCAATGCGCCATCCAGATGATTCTGAATGCTGTCTCTTCCGTCTCCTCCTCGGCGAGGGGGAGGAGGAAAGGTTTGAAAGGGTTGTAGACCTGGTGCTCCACCACCCAATGGGCCAGGTCGTCAGGAACTGGGGGAAGCAGGACGTGCCGCCGGTGCAAGGGGTCGCACACCGCGAGCTCCCGGAAGACCGGAGACGGGTCGTCCTTTTCAAACCTGCGACCGAGGAGGACGCGGCCGTCGCGGACGTCCTGCACGATCCAGCGGCAGTGGGAGGGGAGGAACGAGAAGGAGAAGTCGGCGGCGAGAGCGAGGGCGCGGGCGGCGGGCGCGGAGGGGTGAGGTGGTAGGGCCGGGACGAAGTGGTCGCGCTGGAGGAAGCCGAGGAGCGGCGGGGCGTGGAGGCGGCGGAAGCGGCGGAGGAAGGACCGGCCGGTGGCGAGTCGGCGGAAGGAGACGCAGGCGGCGGAGGCACGGGCGAGGTCGGCCGCGGTAGGCAAGCGGAGGAAGATCTCCTCCTGGATGTGGTCCGGGATCGCCGTCAGCGGCGTGGCCATTCTCTGGCCGGCGGAGGCGCCGCCGGTGGGATATGGATTGAGATGGATCCCGATTTGGTTGGACACAGCTTCAGAAAAAAATTATACGAGACCAGCTCTCATATAAAGCAGGTGAGACCCGCCCTGATGGATAACACGTGGCATTCACAAATCACAAAGCATTTAATCTCTTCTCCCTGATTTCAGGTGGAAGATAGGGTAGATGCTTTGTGATTTGTGAATACCACGTATCATCCATCAGGACGGGTCTCACCTGCTAACCCGTGAGATCTGGTCTCATAGAATTCTTTTCCGAAGCAAATGGGCATTCTACTAGCTGCGAATAAAAGTCAAGATTATTTCTAAAAAAGAAAACCAAAAAATACAAGAAGCATCTA